TTTATTTTATTATATATATTATGTAATTTTCAACTAATAAAAATTTTAATTTTTACAATAATCGCATAATTTAAATTTGAACTTTAAAAATTAATCTAATAAATTATTTAATAGTGTTATGAGATTTAGTACAGGATTAAAATATCTTTTAAAGATATAATATTTTTTAAAAAATAAAATATATAAATTATAATTTTTTATTATAATTTACCTATGAGATATATTCATTATGTGTAACTTTAATCTCTGCTACATTTACATTATTTAATAATACAAGAAAATAGGATATTATTATTATTTAAAAAATATTGTTCATATTTTTTTATTAACAAATATGGATAAATTTTTTAAAACATATATTGTTCTTTGTTTTTACGATGAAACAATTATCATAAATATATTTTATTTCACAAACACATACTCTGATGGATAATATTGATAAAATACCATTTTAATTCTATTAAAAGCGAAAAAATATGAAGGATTAGATATATATGTCAATATATATATAAAACAAGGAGTAATATGTTCTTTAAAGAAATGTATCTCTAAATTCATTTTAATCAGCTATATATTATTTTATTGATACAAACTCATAGTTTTATTATATGTATATATGATTTTATAGAAATAAAAACATGAACACAAATAATTCATACTAATATCACGTTAAAAAAAATTTATTTATATATTTTTTTATTTAAGTAATATATATGAACATATATATAATAAAAATTGTTCCATCTATCTTCAATGAGTAATTGTCTTGTCACTCAAATATACATATTAATTCTAAATGTGTATATATTTTTCATAAAATAAGAATTATAACTATAATGCATAATTAAGTAGTTTATTTTGACTTTTTATTTATTTTTCTTCTACAAATATGAATTTTCATATACTTCTTAATTCCTAAATAATTTTTTAGTGCCTTATATATTGCTTATATAATTAGATTATAAAATATTACCTATATATTCTATCTTTAATTTTCGTATATATACATATGTAAGATCACTTTGGTGCACATAAAATGAATGCTATATTTTTTATGTAAAATATAGAACTATATATATTTGTCCTATATATACTATAATTATACACACTGCATTAATATATTCTTATAATATAATGTAAACATTTATTCGCGCATGTCTTATGTGATAATATATATGACATAAATAATGTAATAATTCTTATCTTAATAATCCCTAATATGAGGTTATATATAAATTGTTTTATTTTTTATCAAAAAAGTCTGTAAACAGTTAATTTTTTTCATATTATATAAAAAAATTCTAATTTCATAAATCCTAAAAAAAGGAATACAAAATTGTACACTAAAAAATAAATAAAAACATTAGAAAACTTATTATCAAACGATTGATAAGTATTAATTCTAATAAACAAAAAATAATAAAAGTTATATGAAATTATAAGTAACATAAGTGTGGCATAAAAAAACATACGTCTATATAGAACATTCTATATGAATTTCATATAGATTAAGTATATTTATACATATGTGCATGACTAATATTAGTATATAATAACTAGATATTCCATATTAATTGTTGTATGTCATAAAAATATAATACTTTTTTATAACAATTTATTTGAACTATGTTTATTTATTAGAGATATATATAATTTTCATATGGATTAACTTATTTGCTAATATTCTATATTATTATTTTATATATGTTATTTACTTATTAATGTAGAAATGCCATATTTATTTAAATAAAAATATATAATAGCAAGAAAAACGGGAAATGACCCTTTTGTATTTTTTGTCTACACATATATGGATAATGAATAAAACTTCAAAAATTAGATATTATTCTATTTGTATGCTTTTATCATGATTACACGAAAAATGTTCATTTGTTCTTTGTTATATAATGATAATTATATCTCTTTCATAAAACATTTATCAAATATATCAGTGTATATATTAGCAACGGTAATTTTTTGTATGTTTTAAATATAATACATTTTTCATTTTGTATTATTAACAATAAATTTATTTAGAATTATATAATATATTATATCTATTGTTTCTTAAAACACAACTGGATGCTTCAGATAATTCCAGTATGTTCTTTTCATTATTTATATTATTATATTGTTTTCTTTTCTTAAGAGCTGCACATCGAAAGCTTAAACCATATGGCGTGAACTAACTCATAAATAAAAAAAAATTAATATACAAAATTCGATATAGTTTTCTAAAAATTTATTTATTTTAAATAACTTAAAAATATACTTTTGCTTTATAAGCATACACATATAACATAATTATTAACCTTATACAAGAAAAATAAAAATGAAGATATTACTAAAGTTGTAAAAATTGGAATTAATGTAAGGGTTGTTATGTTATATCTTTGAAAGGAAGGTAAAGTTTTGGGGATATGAGCTTCACATTCATTGTTAATCATTTGTTTATCGTATATTTCTTTTATATTTAATAATTCTTTACAAAAATATGTGTTATTATTATAATTACAAGTTTGCAGATGTGTTCCATATATTTGTGAACATTCGTTTAAGCATTTACAATTCGTACAAGCAGTTTCAGTTGTATTCTTAACATTAGTATACATTTTTTGTAAATCTTTAAGCTTTGACATTTCATCATCTGCAATAGTACTATAATCAATTTTTTCGTCTATGTAACAATTGGTTAAATCAAGATCACTGATCAATTTATGATAAAGATTTTTAACTTCATTTACAGGTTTCTTATTATTATCATTATAATAATATAGCCAATAATACAAATATATACACCTGGATTCTTTAAACGAATAATAGTAGCTAACATTTATAGTAGATATATAATCTTCCACTTTTTTACAAATGTTTTCAACAGAGGAATTAAAAGATGGAAATTTACCTTCATCAAATGAATTACAATTAGCAGTCATCCTGTCATTACTACTGGAATTTGCATTTTCCATAATTTTTTTCAGATCAGGAAAATCCTTTGCTAATTTATACTATGAATAAATAAAAAATTATTTTATAATAAAAATTATAAATTACTAAAATTAATTTTATTAATTTTATATAAAGATATTATATAAAAATGTTATAATGCAGTTATTTATATTATAATATTTACGATGTACAATATCTTTATCCATTTCTTATAAGATTACATTTGTCTACACAATTCATCGGTAGAAAAATGTAGATGTATAGATATATATGTAGTGTTTTATAATTTTAAAGTTTATATTTTGAAGTAAACAAATTTTATCACCATTTTTAAATATAGAATTGATATATAAATTGAATGATCATCTTGATTATTAAATTTTACACATAAGTAAATAAATAGCAATCATTTTAACATATATATTATACTTTTTCTTTATTTTAAGAGAAAAAAATAAATATTATTTCCTAGAATTAGAACAAATTAAATAAATATAGGTTGATTGTTTTGAGTGTCCAAAATATTAAAATTATATAATTTTACAAATGAATAAACACAAGAATAAAATATAATATTATTATATGCTATTAACATAACTATATCAAAGATAAATTTTATTATTTCCCATTTGAATTTTTTATAGTGATATGTATGATTTAATTAAACCTATATAAAATATTAGAACATATAATGATTAAGGATAATTTTGTAGTTAATTTATTTCTCTTACGTATCATATAGTATAAGCTCATTAATATACGTTATCATCATTTGCGAAATGTAGGTATTAAAACTATTTATTAAGTATAATAATGTATGCGATAATATATAAATCTAAAAATATATTTAGATTACAATAATACATGGCATTCTAAATATTATATTTATATTTTTTTATTTAACTCATATAAGTGAAGCATATATTTATGCTGCAATAACTAATTTATTAAAAATTTAAGCAATCTCAAAAGAACACATATATTAAGGTGATATATAAACATGAATAATAAGTTATTTAATCAATTCCTCCTAATATACTATATTTCAAATTTTAATTTACACTGATATATCAAATATTATCAGTTCTTATAGAAATAAGAACAAAATATATACATGAAAACATTGGTTTTATTATATAATGAATGTATAAAATATATTAAATGCGGATTTTTTATGATTTAATTAATTCAATAATATTTTTAAAACATTTTATTTATTAGAATTATATAAATCAAAATCATTCATGCTAATTATGTCATGAAATATTTTAATTGTATATTACAATAATACATGGAATATAAATTTCATTATGTAAACAAAAATCGGCAGAAATATAAAAAGTGTTTTACCTTTTTAAGCATGTAAAGTTAAAAATAATATTTTTTTATTTAAATTAATTTTTGTCTGTCCTCGTTTTTTTATTAAAAATTTAAAGGTATAAATATTAAAGTTATATAATATATATCATGGTAAATCATAAATATTTAGCGTAATAATTACTTAACATTTATGAAAATTTTATTTATTGACAGAAAAATATATTCAATAATAAGCAATTAAAAATAATAACAATTATTTATTTCTATAATAACTTATTTGTATTTCAATTATATATATTTAAATTAGTTAAAAATATTTATTTTTCACCAAAATATAGAATTTAAATGTACAAGTAATATGCAATTTATATTGCAAATATTACTTATATATTAAATAATTCATTTGCTATATGTTAAAGTTTTATTTAATTAAATATATAACATATTCAATGATCTTTTTACTTTAAAATAAATATTATTAAGATTATAAAACTATAACAATAGTGCTCTTGATAATGTATAGAATTATTTTTTTTATGATATAATTGAATGAGTTATAATATAAAAATATATGAATAAATTAATATTTCCTTATTGATGAATTAGGTAATCCAAAAAATAATTAATGAACTTTAATAATGTGTAATATGCTATATTATTTTTAATATTAATGATGAAAATACGTCATTAAAAAAAGTATTAAATGTTGTCTCTACAGGGAATGAGAACCTTGTGAGTAAATATGACACTGTATGATAATGACTCAAGGTTTTTTAAAAAATATGGATCTAAGCTTATAGACTTTCTTGTATAATATACAAAAAAATTTGTTATAACTGTGTCAACGAGACAAGATTCTTAAATAGTGGGTATAAGAGCTATTTAGGAAATTACATATATAAAAATAATGAGTTCATTGTCTAAAAATATATAATCACATGATAAAATTCATCAATTAATTTAATAAAAAATTAGATAAAACTATAAATTAATATAAAATCACAAATGAAAAGGATTATGAAATACAGACTGAATCATCATACGAGGTTCTGATCGATTATATAATGAATATGTTCAGGGAAAAAGTGTTTAATATATAAATATATACTGAATTAATGTTCTATCTTTATAAAAGAAACATATGTAATATATAATGGATATAGTTTTATAATTTTCTAAATACAAAATATGGAATTAATGAAAATTAGATATCATCAATAGATTATCCTCTAGACTTATAAGATTATTCAACATTATATAATCGTATAATATTTATGTAAAAACCTCATAAATATATATATAAATTTAAAATTAATTCTTATAAATATTATAAATACTGAATGTCAAATTTACTAGATAAACATACTTTTATAAATCATTATTTTGATAGAAATAAAGTTATGTCTAAGAGGTAATGTACAAAATGAAACAAAAAAATAAATTTAATAAAGTATAAAAATGCTAGAAATATAATATAGAGGAAATAAAACCACAAAACCCTGTGCTGAAAAAGTATGTGGTGAATATAGTTGCTCTTTCTTAAAATAATATTAATATATATAGGGAGTATATCACAAATGTCCTTGAATATTAAAAAAAATTTTCTAATTTTTTCATATATTATATTTTTTTCATTCCATATTTAATGGAATATATCATGAATAAGGAAGTTCATATATAATAGCACATCCTATTTTTTTACTTTTGTGTGATATTTGGTAACGATAGAGAACATAATTACGAAACATTTCACATTTATAGTAAAACAAACGTATCAAAATATAATTTTAACCTAATTCAATGAGTATTAATTAATAGATGCCTGAATTTATATATGTTCTATATAACATATATACCTTAATAATTAGAGTTATATACTTATTAATATTTATTTTCTATATTTCCATTTTTATATATATAATATTTTATCATATTTTATTATTTTCTCATAAATGCATGTTATATAATATAATTCTATCGTATTATAAAATAAATTTTCCATTTTTATTTTTGTTGTTTTATAATTATCTTATTCGTTATACTTTGCGTGATTTATTCTGCAATAAATTATTTCTCCTATTCTTATATTAATAATTTATTATTCTTTATTTCTATAGTGTAATACTAATGAATTTAATTTCATTTCATTTATATATATAATTACTGATACAATTATATATATGATTCATATTTTAAATTTCTATATTTATTGTGTAACCTAATATTAAATTAACGATCTTAATTTTTGTAATGCATTTATACATGAAAACAAAGTAATATTTGTTAGTTTTTTTTACATTAATAATTTTTTTTAGGAAACTATTAATATTCATTAATTATGAATTAATATATAATGGACATGAATTAATATAAAATGCACAGCTAATTGCAAATGTAGCACATAGTACATATTAAAAAGAGTAAACTAGATATTACATTTAATCACATAAAAAATTAGTTATGCTCACAGGAATTGCTTATTCAATTAATATATATATTGTGTATAAGAACCACGGAACATATATAGGATCAAAATATAGAACAAATCTTAGTACTTAAGTATATTTTATTCTATTTATTAATATGATTATACATTATTTTTCATATTGCTTGTATTTTTTTAAAATAAATTTATTAAACAACATATTAAATGGATAATATAGAGTGTGATAAAAATTTTTAATATATCATAGCTTGAAAAAACATATGTAACATTATAGCTTATATATTTTTGAGAATGCAACAATTAATATTTTGCGGAAGTCATTTAAATAGGTTTATTTTTATATGGAAGCTAAAATACAGAAAAATACAGCACAATTATATGTGCTTAAAACAAATAAATAACAGTGACATGAAGATGCTTAATATGGATGAGTACTATTTTTGATATAATTAATGGCATCATTAATTTTTAATACGGCATTTTCAAGAAATTCAAAATAATATAATACAAGCTAATGGACCATTAATCTTAATCAAATTTAAACATACAAACATTGAACACTTTCCTTTAATAACTCATTGTTATATATTGTGTAATATAACAAAACTTAACGAATATAAGTACAAAACCTTATTACATAATTCATATAAATAAAACAATTTTGCAAATTGCGTAATGTAAAAAAATGCATTTCTATATATATTATATAAAATATATTTTACATTATTTTAATAATAAGAACAAAATATAATCCATATATTTTGTATGATAATGTGGTATCATACGATATACTAACTTATAACTTATAATATCTGTAAATATCTTTTTGAAATAATGAATACAACATAAATTAAAATACTTTAAGTTACTACTAAATCAAATAGAAATATAAATTACATTTTATTTACCATAAAACCCGTTTGTAAAAGAAAAATAAGGATACATTTATTTTAAATATATTATACATAGCCTTTGCGAAAAAATGATATAAAATCAATATATTGGAATTTTTCATGATTAAAAGGAATTTAGTCCATTACTTTTAATAACATAATAGCATACAATTTATATAAAAACAAAGAAATTATGTTTTTTTTCAAAAATATTACCAGAATTAACATGACCCTTATTACAACAAAATATGAGACGGTGCAATTGAAGTATTTTAAATGTATCCTTTGGGGTGACATTGAATTATTCGTTTATTTGTCTACCTGTAACTTATATTTAAAAAATATATTACACTCTTTGTGATATATATATATTATAATAAATAAATTTTATTTTTTTTTTAATGTCCATACTTTTAAATTTAACTGGAAGTGTACGTATTTCAATTCAGTATTTTTAAGAATGAATATTAATTTTTACTATTTTATTTACCCTATTACATCTTGAGAATTAAAGGAAAAAAAGGGAAAAAATAAATAACATAGAACGTTAGCTTTGAATTATATTCTAGTAATTTTCTAGATATAGTTTATTCCAATTATAGTTCCAATAATATATTGTTACTTAGATCATAATGGGCTCAATATTGCAACATATATTTTTTGATACCTAAAAAAACGTTTATTCATATGGATGAATGAGGTCATATAATTGATATTATTAAAATTAATAAATTAGGAGAGAAATTATTTATTATATTTTATACTTATAGCTTAGACCATATGCATATGTATATTTTTTTTGTTCTACTTTCAATATTAATACACATATTTTACTGTACTCCTTTACTATATGCGTTTTTATATAAACCATAAAAAAAACGTGATATATTGTATTGTGTAAGATAAAAGAACATTATTACAATTTTAAATCATTTATAATGTAAAAAAATGCGTTTTTTTTTTTTAGACGTATTGAATTGTAACAGCGGTTTCTATTTATATTATATTAATTCAATGTAAATCCTTACATATCAATTAATACATTATAATAAATGTAACAATTATAAATAAATGTTAATTCATAATATATCATAATTATTATGGACGCAATATTTAACAAATAATGATTAAATTCAACGTAATATTTCTTAATAAAATATAGGATAAGGTTTATTTCACACAAAATATAATTTTTGAAAAAATTATATTTATTATGATATTAATATATATTTTAGATCATAAATAATAATGATTTATTATAGTATTTATTTTATATTTATTGTATAAAAGTAAACCTAACTGTATATTTTCAAGATTATTCTCTTCATAATGCTGAGAATATTTTTAGAATTATTGCTATTTCTTGACTGCTGTTTTTGCATTACATAAACAGATAATTAGAATATTAAATAAGAATTTCTTTATTATACTCACTCAAAAGTCAAATTACATTATATGAAAAATAAATTATAATGTGTAATTATTAAATTGCATCATATGTAAACGGATTAATATAAGGGACCTTTCTATATTCATAATTTAAAATCGATATTTTTATATTAAGTAAATATATAATTTAATTGAAATTATATTCAAATTTACATATAAAAATATTTATGCGAATTTACAAAACGGCGTCTATTCTTCCATATACTATAAGCACACATATAAACAAATATTTAATTAAAGCATATTTATTTTTTTGAAATTAACTTTAAATAGCTCACCACTATACTATATTATTTCAAAATTTAAATTACAAGTCATTATATATATAATGACTTGTTTCAAACTATAAGTATAGTTGGTAATATAATTTATAATATTGAATTAATGTATACATATATTTATAATTATTTCATTCCTATATAAATAATTAAATAAGTTTCAATCACTACATTTTTAATATACATGGTATCAAATTCCTTTGAATCTTATATTATAATTAAAATCTATAAAATATAAATGAATATATTGTTACCCTATATATTACCATATTTGATGTAAATTATAATCATTCTTTATTATTATTTTTTAACCATATTATTTGTATTTATTAGATAATTATTTTTTATTTATACAAATTACATTCATATTTTTATATCTTGTAAGCTTTTTATTATGAAGTTATAAATGGCAATATAAATTATATAATATAATAAAAGTAATTTTATTTTTTATATATTTAAATATAAGGAACATGATAAGTTTATAATGCTTTTTTAATTTAAAAACATTATTTATGTTATATATATGGAAAATATCAAAATTGTACATTATATAACTATTTTATTTATATTTAATCTAATTATTTTATATATGATTTCTCTTTTATATAGAAATATATAAAATAATATTTTATATATCACAAACTACATGCTCCATATTTTTAGTTGTATATATCTAATGATTAAGAGAGTCAAGACATGCATTTTTATTTTAATATATTAAAACTAAGCCTTATCTTTCCTTATATCATATGAATATATTTTTTGAAAATTCATACTTCACATTCTTAAAATAAATTATTTTTTTTCCTTAAGCATTTAATAAATAATATCTTAAATGAAATTATAATAATGGACGTATAGTTTTGCTATTTTAATGTTATTGTATGAAGTATTATATATATATTTTACCATAATTGATGCATGGATTTGTACAACACAACATAATTTTTTTCGTGATATTATGTTTTTTTCATTTTAGAAAATTACACTGAGTTTATTCCCCATATGTAGGGAAATTATGGTTAATTATAATGCTATGCCTAATAGTCTATACAAAACAGAGTGTAATAGATTTAATCCATCTAATCATAACGCTCTTTTCAAAGATTCTAACATATGCGTCCAAGCCATGCATTATTTAACTTCTATTATGTTTGTAAATGACAATAAATTAAGAAAATCCGCCTGTGAATACCTATATTATTGGATATTTTATACTTTTAATAACATAAATAACATTGAGAATAACAAGAAAAAGTATGATGATATTCTTAACTTATATAAAAGTTTTTTGAATGAAGAACATATATGTAAGAATTATAGTAAATCATCTAATGAGGATTTTATGTCAATATTGAAAGCCATGTATAAAATCCGTAATTATATTAAAGAAATAAATAATGAGAATATACATGAAACATATAATGATAAAAAATTTCTTATTGAATTAGACATCATTAAAAAACCTTATAATGAACAGTGGGTAGCACCAGTAATTGAACCTTCTACACCCATATTAATACCATGCAAGGAAACCAAAATTGCAACTCCTATTATAATTACACTTTTTTCAATTCTATTAATATGTGTATTGTCATTTATTTTATATAAGGTAATCACGATATAATTTATATTCATTTACATGATGAAATATTGTAATTTTTTGAAATTAAAAAAAAAAAATTCTTAATACATAAATATATATTTTTTTTATACATTTAAAACAGTACACGATATTGGGTTCATTTTTGTGCCCCAATAAAAAGGGGTTAAAAACGAATAGGAATAATATCGATGAAGAATTGAATGAATCTCTACTATTAGGAACATCCCTTAATATTTTAAATGATAATATATATAAGTTACTATATAAATGAGTCTCATATTCTTTTTAAATACGTAATTCATATAAGATATGTTTATAAAATAATATAGTAATATTATTTTGACTATTTTTCTTTTAAAATAATTAAATAAATAATGGTAATACAAAATATTATTCTTGTATAAATTAAATAAGTATTAACATAACTTATGGTTTATGGTTCTGATGTTAAATTATTGTTTTAGCTTTTCTTTTTATTTTATATTATTATTGATATAATATTTATGTACTTTTTTTAATGTTTCGTAAATATTTACCTTTAATTATTTATGATTCTATACTAATAATTGATAAATTTATTTTAATATTATAATTTAAGTGTGTAAAATGAAATATGGAAAATGACAGTGTTCATTTTATTATTTTAAATATGTGCCAATATCTTAATATTTTTTGATAAATATATATGTTTTATTCTTTTGAATATATATTATTCTTATGATTATTTTGCACTAAAATCCTATTTTATCATAACTATGTTTATGTTACTGTTAACATATATATGTGTATAGTACACCTTTTAAGATTTCTTATATATACGAATCATACACTAATGTTTTGTAAATTAAGCGTTGCTTTTCATTATTCAATTCATATAAACGATTAAAAAAACTATTTCAAAGAAATAATATATTAAAGGTAATACGAATTTATCACAACATTCTTTAAGAAATATATCCATAATTTTATTTTAAATAATTTGACATGTATATCTACTTTTTTATGTCTCTCACTTATTAACACAAATAAAATAATATTTTCACAATATTATCAATGGGTGTAAATGTTTGTTAAATTAAATATATTTGCTGTATATGATTCATGTATAAGTAAAAAAGAATATATAAATTAAAACATTTTTTTTTATTTCTCTTAATTAAAATGTGATACTTATCATATATATATTAATAATGAGTTATTTAGATGAATTAAAATTAACGTAAAACTTGTATAAATAAAATCGATATCTGATGAATATAAAATATAGGTAAATTCTAATGACTGAATTAGTCATATAACTTCTAAAATAATTGCATATTAAAGCACTTAATTTATTCCCTCCTAAATCCTAAGCAAGTTGTAAAAACATTTATTAGATAAATTAATAAAAATTGAATCACCTATATATTATTTTTATTAAAATATAAATAAATTTCTATTGTATAATATTTAACAATTGCAATAAAATAAATAACATACAAATTCATTTTAATAATTCAGCTTACTTACGTACAAAGTACTGTTATTCTTGTAAATAAATATAAAAAATGATTAAAAATTCAAGTTTTTCTTGAAATTTAAAATATAAAATGGTATAAAAATATATCCCTTAATAATATATATAACTATCAAATAATTAAGCTAAATTGCGTAAATAATATAAAAATGGTTCATTATATGAAAATTAATATAATATACTACTAGCTATAGTTAATAAATCTTAGATCAACCAAACATATGGAAAAAGATAATAACAAATATAACAAAAAGCCTATATAGTATAGAATAATTTTTTTAACTATATCTAATAAATTATAAAAAAATTGTTTTACTTATAATTAACTTAAACAATATTCAACGTACAAAATTATATAAATTATAAAAAATAAAAATACGTATATATAGCACTATAATAAATACATAATAAGTATATATATATTAATTCTTATACACAGAATATATATACAAAATATTATACTCACAAAACAGTAAAAAAAAACGTAAAAAATAAGGGCGAAAATAATTAAAAACAGGGGAAAATAAATATATCAATTACAATAACCGAAAACCCATAACTGTAAACCACAATCAAACAATTCTAAAACGTAAACCATAAACCCAGTAACACATTAAACCTGTTTTTTAAAAAAAAAAATATTGTAAAACATAAATATGGAAAATTTCCATTTGTAAAATATTAAATTATTTATGATTCTAGCTATATTTATAAAATAAAAAGACATGTTATTACAATATTAATAATAAACTTTATATAGCAAAAATATATTATTCCTAATCTTTTTAATATATATTAATATAATTTATTATAAATTATAATTATATTAATTTATTAATTAAATATAAAAAAGAATCAATTAAAATTTGAGTATATGATTTATTTAAAATAGAAATTTGCATACTAAATTATTTATACATTTTACTACAAGAGAAATTTGAATTAAATTATGTAATATACTTATTCTTTATTTATACATATAAAGATATACACAGATTATATTTTATTTTACATTAATATAGTTGATTTATAATTCATTTGAATTAAATTGTTACATATATTAATATGAATAAAATGGATAATATATAAAAATCTATCATATGTTATTTTTTTTTATTAATAGAACATTTCGAATAACCGATATATTTAGTGATATATTAGGAATTATGTTATATTATCTGAGCTTACATTATTTTATTAATTTATAATATTGTATAATACACTATTAAATTATAATATACAAAAGAAAAATATTAAATAAAATAAATATAAACGCTCTCAAATATAAGTGTAAAATATATACATAATAGTATATATTTAGATTAATAATTAAAACGACGTTATATTTCTTATAATATTATGTAATTAATATCTCCTCACAATTTTAATAATATGTAAATAATGTAAATTAAAAATGCTTAAATTAATTATGAATTATTATATCACATATAACAAATAAGGCCATACAAATAAATAATGACTAATAACTGAAAGTAAATCTCTGTATCCTAAATCATGAACTAATTATATAAACAATGAAAAAAAAAAAAAAAAAAACTGATAAGCACGATATTCAGTTAACTAATTAATTAGGAAATATGTATTATTTATAATATATAGCAATGGACATATATATATTTATATTTATCACTATATAATACATTGTATAATGATCTTAGACTAACATTTACTTAATTATTAAACATGACAAATCAAAAAAATATACTATCTATAATAAAAGTAATATCTGAATATTAATCTTAAATAAAAGCATATATATTAATGAAATATCTAAACTATATCCCTTTATTCCACTCCATATATAAATTATTGTTAATATATTTAGCTAATTTTTTAGGATCTTAATTTCTTACTTAGATAATGTATAGTTATTGTATTTTTTTATTTTAACATTTTCTTTTTTTAAGAAAAATGTAATGGAACAAATTCAGAATGTAATGGTGAGTTATACAATGCATTGAATAAGGCATTAGATGAATATCATAATTGTGAAGATTTTTGTTCTATAACCAATTTAATTATACATACTACAAATGGTGTCCTTAATAAATTTTATTATTTCTTGTATTATAATTTATTGGATTTAAACAATTATCAAGACAAAGAATGTACATTATTGAATGAATGTTTAGTAGAAGAAAAAGAAGAATACGAAAATGATAATTCAATATTCTATGCAATGAAAAGATAGAAGAATATTATGGAATCTATATTCAATGAATTAATTATTTCAGGTACTTGAAATGACCATTCATGTAAATTAAATAATTCTGTAATTAATATTAATTTTCCTCCAAAATTTCCAATACATTCATCGTTTACTTTAGAACACCAGACTGCATCACATACAGTAAATGAATCAGGTGATAATGTTATTGTTATATCTAAAACTGAAGCTTCTACTTCTGTTGTACTACCAATAAAAAAGATTATTACTATTGTTTTATTATCTCTAATGACAATTGTATTTATTATTATCTTTTTATCCGAAGTGATATAAATATTATTAAATTCATTATTTATATATAAGAATTATTTAAAACAACTAATCATTAAAACCATTATATCTATTTCAACACATTATACATTTTTTTTTATTACATCATTTATATATAGTATTCCAAAATAAAATCATTTTTAGATAATAATTATAATTGGACGAGAATAACAAGGAAACGAAAAAAAAATAGGAAACCTATTGCACATAATAGAGATTTTTTATTAAACTCAAGGATTGATTGTATTAATATAGGTTACATATGATAAAACAATTTATAATTAAAATATAAATAAAACCATCAGATTTAATTCTACAACTTTATAATCAATTTAATAATTTCAAAGAGGAATAATATGCCAAAGTGCATATAAAAATGTGTACAAGATAAGAAAATAAATATAGGATATAAAATATAATTTAAATAATAAATAAATAAAAAAAAAAAAGGTATACACGAGCGCAGAAATATATATTATATTGTAAATTGAAAATATGAAACATTTCATGAATAAATATTTATCCAATTATTTTAAAGATTAATTTGATGCAAATTTTATTTTTACTTAATATAGCAAATAACTCTTATTACGATTTAATAAATATATATATAACCCTGTTACTACGCATTTATATATATATATATATATAATAAAATCATATTTATTTATTATTTATTGTTATACTTAAAGCAATATATTTTTGCGTTTTAAAAAATATTTTTTTTATAATATTTGAGGTACATATAAATATATATAACCATAAAAAATATACTATAAGAAAACTTACTAGAATTAATAATTAGAAAATATTATACATTTTCTACTATGTTTCTCACATCTTTCATATTAAATGTATACACTATTTTTTCCTTTTGTTTACTTTTTTTTGCTTTCTCCACAGGAATGTAACAAAATAAAGAATTCATAATGAAAATAATACTCCATATGTATGTATAAATATAAATATATTAATATATATATGTTATGGTTATACTGGTTTTATAATAAATAGGTATAATTAAAGAATTTGAAAAAAGAATAGTAAAATATATACATTATTTTTTTACAATGTATATATTTAAGGTTTATAATAGAATATGTTACTGTCTTATTTCCATTATTCTATTATTATTTATAATAACACAAATATTAAACATAAGAAAACTTATTCCTCGACTCAACAATTTAAAATTCTTATTAATTATATATATTTTTATATATTTAAGTTCCCTTGAATTAACAGCTTCTTATATATTTTTATATATAAATTAGTTTTAATAAATACATTAGATCATGCTACGCTATTAGAGTAATGCTAAATAGATAATTTCTAGAAAAATAAAATTATATTTAAAATGCTATAATAATTAATAAGCAATAATGTATAATGATATAAATATACATATGTCAATTTTTTTTTTTTTATTTTAATATATATAATATTACATTTCTGGTGTTCTGTTCCTATGTCTCCTAAATTATACGTATTATTTATATTAACTGAACTGTATATATAAGTAATAAAAGTAATATACATTTTATCGAATTGTAACATATAATAGTGTTTATTTAAGTGCATTAAAAATAAAAATTATGTTAAAATAATGCTTTTATAATAGTATATAAAATACAGGGCATATACATTATTATATATAATATAAAATTTAAATTTATATTTCTATAAAACATCAATATATTTAAAACTATATAATATGGTCCTAAAAAGTATTATACTATAATATAACATACATTATATCTCTATACTGTAAAAGAATTCATGAAGATTTTATTAAATAGATAATAGTTTATATTATTATGAGCTTATTTTTTTAATATATTTTTTCACACTACTAACTTCTATAAAAAATTATAGATTATTTTCTATAATGACTTATAATATTAATTTAATATGAAATATTACACATTTATGTGTATATTTTTTTAAATATATACATTATATATACAAGCAATATAAAATTTGTTCTGATGTATTTAATAATTTTAAGCATGATTAATCAGCATATAAATCTATTCCATGTATATATAAATATATGCCGCAAAAGGGAAGTGTATACAAATCTTTCTTTTATGGATACTTTTGTTTGCTTATAAAAGATGAAATCATTTCTCGTTAGAAAATAAATTCGTGTTATATATATTATTAATTATTAGTTATTTAATTAATTATGTACAACAAAATGAGTTGTTACATAATATCGTTTTTTACAAATTATTCAAAGAATAATGTGACTATAGTACAAATTTGATCACGCTGATTATGTACATTAAAAATTGAGGACATTTCATATTTATTTATAGAGGATATACATATTTGTTTCAATGGATTATGCGTATATGCATAACATTATTCTAAATCTATAATGATACATGAAAATGCGCATACATTAAGGAAATATTAAAAAAATATATTTTAAAATTATTATAGTAATTAATATAAGCAATTGATACCCTATATACATATAGATATATTTAAAAATATTAAAATTGTTTTATTTGTTATTATATCATTTATTAACAAAAAAGATCAAGTAAAACATAATATACATACAATATAATGATTATATTATTATTTTAAATATTATCAAATTTATAGGAAATGTAACAAATTATATATTTATGAGGAAAAAAGTAAATATTTAATAGAAAATATAATGCAGTCTTTTAATTAATATATGATGAAAAATATTTAATGCTACTAAAACATATATATATATATTAGACCAAAAGTGTATACATATTATATAAATAAGGTAATTATGAGATAAAATATTTTAAAAAACATATATATTTTTTCTATTTTATAGGGAATATAATGTTTTATAGAAAATTTATAAAAAAAGTATTAAGATAAATATATGCTATTTTTCTCTATTTCAATGCAGATATTTGTTGTAATACATTATATCTTCATATATAATATTATTATATACATTCATGTCTTATTTTAAAATAATGATTATAAATTATTATTAATACATGAATATATTTATTTTATATTATTGAGAAAAAAATACTTCTATATAATATATAGTGTTGTTCTATTTTATTGAACAATAATTGTATGGTACATTATTAAATTTTATAATTATAAAATCTATA